TGGGCAAAACATCCGCGGTATGGGTTACCGAGGTTATCTACCTATTTAAAATTCACAGTTTATAAGTAATCGTTCAAGCAAAAAAAGAGCTATGGGTTTAACCATTTACCCACAAAATTTAAAGGGGTGATTATAGGTACCCATTTAACCGTTTATTTTGGTGACAACTAGTCGATGAGACTTTGTGATTGGGCGCGTGCTAAAGCATTTGAGTGTTTGAAAGTTTAGTTTTGGAATATTTTGGAGATTTGAATCATCTAGCATTCAAGATAATGATTACCTTGATTTTTTTTTTTTTTTTTAGTACATCGATATTTTTACATTAGGGGGAGATAGAGTTCGGCTAAGCCACACAATGGGCAGCCTAATTTGGTATCAAATTTGCCATCCATGAGATTCGAACCTAAGACTTCTCACTTTTAAGCGAAAAGGAATACCACCAAGGCAGCCTAATTTGGTACCAAATTCGCCATCCATGAGATTCGAACATAAGACCTCTTCACTTCTAAGCGAAGAGGATTACCTTGATATTTTAGAAGCTTTACTTTGTAATCATAAAATCATATGGAGCTTAAATTATTTTGGGAACTGTTATTAGCACTCTAAAAATCTCATTCTACGCTCTTTGTAAGTGTATTTTTCTTTCTAATTATAGAAAGTTTGGAGTGCAAAATGAGATTTTTGGAGTGCTAATAACAATTCCCTTTATTTTACTCTTGGTCTAGATGTTATAATTGAAGACTTGCTTGGGTGTAGAGGAAAAATATGTTGAAAATGCATGAATTTTCTTTCCAATATACTTTAGTTTGTAAAAATAAATACGGCTTTGATATTTGACGTTTACCTGGTTAAGTAATGAGAGGTCTTCTGTTAGTAACCCGATCAATTCTTGGAAAATATATTATATTACCTTCATTGATAACTGTGGATGCAAATTTTCATCTTCTTCTTCTTGGACAAAATTGCACCCGACAAAATAAATAACACCTTAGGTCAAGGCCAAGAGCCTCACGCACCCACGATGAATTTGGGGGCCGGGGGGGGGGAGCTTTAGCTGAAGAACGTCTGATGCCAAAGTTAAAATTTTGAGGGAAAAGTGTTTGGAGAATTTAGAGAATTTTGCAAGAGAGTTGGAATTTAGGTTTTGAAAATGAGGGTGTTTATATAGGGGTGTGGCTGGCCCATTTGGGAGGAGATGGACCGGCCACTTGGATGGTTTTTTGGGTGAGATTCATGATTTGTAGCTAATTAATAAAATTGAATAATAAATCAATTAATTAGCTAATTAATATAATTTGAAAGGAAAGATTTGGGGGTTACCTTGTGGAGAATATTTGATGAGGATGGATGATTTTAAATAAATACCTATTTTGGGCACTTTTGACTTGATTAAGGGATGGTTGTCCACTGCTCGCGCGTAGGAGTTTCGGTGTTCCTCGAGGGTGGTTTTGTCCTTTTTACCCTAGAATCCACGTGTCACCTCCATATTATTCTTGATTATTTTTTGCTCCACAAATGCCCCACACCTATTAGGCTGCTCGTAGGAAAGGGCAGTAGGTGTAAAGATCTTCTTGCTTTAGGAAACATAAGATTGTTTCCTATTTTGTTGTAGATTCCCTCTTTAATTAGAAATTAGATCCTTCTAGGAAAGGGAAATAAATCACTTCTAAAGTCTAATTAAGTCTACCTTAAGTAGATGATTAAATTAACTTTAGAGAGCAATCTATTCTACCATACAAGAGAGAGAAAGCTAGAGGATATTTGTTCCCCCTCCTTTAGCAATATTCTACATTTGCCCGTGCAAAGGACTGTCTTTCGTTGCTTTCTTCGTCAGGGTAGTGCAGCATGTCCGCTGGCAGGGGATAAGAGTTGGCTTGGCATGGCCCGATGAGGTGTTGTGGCAGGGACCACTACTTGGGCTGCTCGGTTTGGCTAAAGCCAAGGGCAGCTGTGCGGCTGGGGTCGCGGATTGTGGCGTTGGGGCACAGTGCTAGGCGAGTCGTATGACTTATATCCTTTTAGGCTTTTAAACTTGACACGGGCTAGGCCGGTGATTGAGAGAAATGAAAAAGTCATAGGCCTTATGGGTTGCTGGAATGCTGGGCATGTAGCAATGAACGGCGTTGGCTGCTTAGTCCTCTTTGCTGAGAGAAAGGTGGGCTGCCCCTGAGAGAGGAGATAAAGAGAACAAAGTCGGAAATGTTGGCTTGCCCGATCGCTGTAGTGGAGCCTGCTGCGTATGAAGGTGGGAAAATAGATCTTCCCCGCCTGCTCAAAAGGTGTTGGCTGAGAAAAAACCAAAGACTTCTTCCTAGGGGACGAAAGATAGGGCTGCTAGATTTGAACCAATGACGCCTGCTATGCCAAAGATGGTTAGTTCGATTGCTGATAGGATTGCTCAGCGTAGAGGTTCCGTCGTGCCCCAGCATCGAAACCAGTGTCGAAGCGTCCGTTGGAAGCTAACTCTGGTTCACCTTTGAAAAGACTTGCTAATATGAAGAGTGATAAGGTGGACTCTGTTGCTAAAGTGGCACCAAGGCCTACTCTTTTACTGATGAGATTGATTCGCCTGCTGGGAAAGAAGAAACTGCTCGCGTGGGTAGCTATGAGGAATCCACTAAGACTGCTTCTGAGGAAGCTGCTGAGATCTGTGCGCTTTTGAAACCAGATCTGGTTGAAGACATGGACTCTTATGCCAAGTTTGTCGATGACGTTAGAAAGGTTGTTTACCCAAGTTCCTTTGTGAAGCATATGGCCAAGTGTAGGAAGACTGCTCTACTTGTAATGATGAAAAAGATGGCTATTCCTTGACCAAGAGGATACCAAGGCTACCAAAGAGGTGGTAAAGGTTGTGGCAGCCGAAGCTTATTCTTCTGCCAAGAAGATCAATAGGTTGGAATCTGAGCTCGTCACTTTGAAGGGGTATAATATCTCTACCCCTACTTCTCTGCAGCTTGAGACCACTCGCCAAGAGATCGTTGACTTGAAGACCAGGCTTGACATGATACAACTTAAGTAGAAGGAGATCGGATGTCATATACCTCAAATTCAAGATCTTGAGCATATTGTTTCTAAGCTTCATTTCACTGCTTTTGCAAAGGATGAAGAGTTCATTGCTGCTTATAACCAAGTGATCACTTCAAGAAGGTCATTGATAGGCTTGAACCCTAAGTGTTGGGAACTCCAAGGTGCACTAAAGATCAATGAAAGTTTGAAGAAATAAGTGGATGAGCTGCAACTCGTCCGTGTTGATCTGCTCAAGGAAATCAGGCAGCCGAAAGGTGAGAAGGCTGAGCCAGAGGCTTCGCTTGTTCAGAGTGAGGTTGATTTCTATAAGCTGGGTTATGTAGATCGTCTCTTTGATAAGCCGTCCGACTTCGAGTTTGCTGAGAGAGACTTCGAAACTTTCTCTATTTCTCCGGAAGACTTGCTTGTACTTTTGAGGCCTCCATTGGTGAAGTAGTCGGAGATGTTGGTTCCCAGGTTGGAGCAGCTGGGGGTGAAGTGCCGAATGGTGCCGTTGCTGAGAATGTTGCAGTTGCTGAATGTGTGGCGACTAAGTAATCGTGGAGTGTCCAAGCTGCTGAAGAGTAGTCTTCTACGTTGTCTTTAGGATTTTCTCTGTTTCCCTCATTGCTTTTTACTTTGCTTGAACTCATTCTGTCGTTGCTAGTTGTTTATCAATTTTGCTAGAAAATTTAATAAACTTGCTTCTTCTCTTTTCTCCATCTTTGCTTCTTTTGTTCATGCCCTAACCTTTAGACTTCATAGACCAATGGCAGGCGTGCTACTTTTCTATAAGTAGGCAGGCCCGCGTAGCCGATGCAGTCGTAGGTGTTGGCGTAAAACTTTGCAAAATTGTTGGCCATAAGTTTGGCAGCCGGATGCCTTACTTATAAAAGCAGACAAGTTCGCATGACCACTAGGCTGTTAACCTTGGCTTTCTCCAAATTCGTAGGTTGCGTATCACAACACTTTAGGACTTGGTGTAGGTCGTTTCGCGCTTGGCAGAGGTAAAGCTTATCGACTACGTAGCATGTTGACAATGAATAAAGGTTCGTATATGCACGCTAGCTTGTTTAACCTTTCACAAGAATGTGCGGTTGTATAAGTTTAGCATGGCTTTACTGCTTGAAAGGCAAGTTGTAGACAGTCTTTTGGAAATCGTAGGCTATCTTAATGTACTCCGTAGTAGCTTTAGGGTTCCAGGGCAGCCGTCTGTAGGGCGTACTACGTAATGTGCCCCTCCATCTCTGGGGCCAGGTTCCCCGCGGATTAGGCTAAGAGACCCAAAATCCTTCAGCTAGCTAAGCCTTGAAAAAGGCCATTGTGGCTACTTCTAGGAATCCCTGTGCAAGTCATCGTGCACCTAGTTATACTAAGGCAGCCCAACTCATCCATGTCTGGATATTCGGAGTGTAAAGTTTATCTTCCCACCTTGGAAAGCAAACCCATGAGGGTGTCAGGGAATTGGTTTACCCTCTCACACTGGAGAGCAATTTTGACTTGATTGAGGAATGGTTGTCCACTGCTCGCACGTAGGATTTCCGGTGTTCCTCGAGGGTAGTTTTGTCCTTTTTACCCTAGAATCCACATGTCACCTCCATATTCTTCTTGATTATTTTTGGCTCCACAATAATAGCTAAAAATATCGTTTATAAATTATTATTTCAACTTCCGGAATGATATGAGGACTTAAAAGATGAAAATAGGAAAATGCATGTTAAATGTATCAATAACGGCGTTTAATTGTCAGAAAAAGAAATTATGACAAATTTCCTTTTTAATTTTTAAATGTCAAAAAAACAAGTATGCAGTTACGGTTAAATGGCCAAGCCTAGACATGAGGGAGTTCATAAGCAGCCTTCCGAATGTTCTCCGCTAAAAAGGCATGCGCATATTGCCTGTGACTTTGGAAGTTGGGGATTACATCCTTTCTCCACTGATATGTGTGGAGAGAAAGAGTATCCAAGATCTTTAAGTTGGGGATTACATCCTTTCTCCACTGATATGTGTGGAGAGAAAGAGTATCCAAGATCTTTTTATGAGTTTCACATCAGGGCGTCTTTATCACCAAGAGGAAACAATGGTTCGATACTATAGAATACCTATTCTGCTGATTGAATTTTCACAGGATAAAAGTTTCTCCTTTCGGGTAAATCTGAATCATATATTTAGAGATTGGTTAATTGGTTGGCTTAATGCTGAGGTGGATATATTGTTGGATATTTAGTTGCAGTCTGCAAGTGATATTGGTGATGATGTCACACCAAATAGTTTTATATCTAAGCTGTCGTGGCTTGTTCTACACTTTCCCCGGTTGCGAATCATCTGGTCTCGCAGTCTGCATGCTACTGCTGACATATTTGCTACTCTTAAGGCAAATCAGATGAACCTGACGAGAGCAAAGCAACTACAGTTGGTGTACCCTCTGAAGATGGAATTGTGGAGGACGACGTGAGGTAAGATGCAACTTGTTTTTGCATGTTGCAATTGTCACGTCATAAGCCTATATTAAAATCTTTCCTGCTCGTAGAGGGCAATGGGAGAATTCACTCTCTTTTTCAGCAGAGCATGTCATCTACACAGGGCCCTCCTTATGCTTTTTTTTTTCTTCAATGAAAGTAATTATTAGTGGATATTAATGGTGGAAAAAACGTTTAGTCACCAGTGGTACATGTTCCGCAAGAGGGAAAATTATGTAATAGTAGAACCACATCAGTCGTTCCCAGTCAAATAGTTCAGTCCCTGAGCTGACCATGGAATGCCTCTCATTACCTGAGCTTTGGTTTGTTTGTTCATCACTTGATACTCATAGCATAAATCTGACGGGGTATTGTAAATTTTCAGGGCTGAAAACTACAATACGTATGCGGTGGAATTTTGAGACGACTCCCGGGTGTTACAGATTTCAAATTACAGGGCCATAATGGATGGGTGTAAGAGCTTGGCGGAACTCGCTAGGGGATTTTGGTCTAGCAGAAATGTATGAGCATAGTTCCATCATTGCAAGAGAAGCAACTATACCAGCTGGAACAGTGGGATATGTTGCTCCGGTACGTTTATTCAGGTGTGTTTGCAGCTTTGGTGTGGTGGTGTTAGAGGTGGCAACGTGAAGAAAATCAGTGGAGGATGATGGAACGTTGGTTGTTGATTGGGTTTGGAGCATGTGGGAAAATGGGAAACTGCTAGGTTGATGCGGCAGTTTGATATGGTAGAGATGGAGAGGATGCTGATGACTGGACTTGCTTGTGTGCACCCAAACCATGTGAAGAGGCCAATGGTGAAGGAAGCTACTAGGATTCGTAAAGGCGAAAAGCCTCTTACTCTGCTGCCACCAAGAAAACCAAGGGTAAAATCTGTCTTTTAACACCATTAACAATCGCCTGTCTTTTAACACCATTAACAATCGCACTAGTTCATTCATTCATTCATCCATTCTTAGTGCAAAATAAAAAGCTCATGAGAGAGTTTACTGATCATAGAAACAAAATCTACCGAAAAGACACTGGATATTTAACCAAGTACAACTGTTAAAGAATTCAGATATGGTCCCTGTCTCTACAAGTATCTGTCTCAATTAATTGTTTAAAAAATGCACCAAGCTTCTTCGCTTCATTAGACATTGTCGAACTAGACCCAGGAGACGTCTCAGAGTCCAGCGACATGTGGGCTAACTTGGCAGATACCATTTTCAACCTCGGGGCTCAAATTCCGATAACCATTAAGCTGATGGGATAAATCGATAGTGAGTTGTCTGCATTTATTATAAGATGGTAACTAGTAACAATGTTTTTTGTGGATTTGCTCTGTGTCGTTGAAGCTAGCACTTATAGGTCCACTTGGAGATGCCTCGTCACAATATTCATGTGTTCGTTTCAGGATTTTCAGTGTTTGGTTGAGTTCTTCCAAATCTTGCTTGTACACCAAACGAGCCCCACACTTCTTCACCTTATTCAAGTCTGCTTCTACGTTTACCCCTCCAATACAACTAAAGTAAGTTCCGAATAAAAACTGTTCCTGATGACAAATTTCACGAGGCAAATGAAATACCCAAATGTGTTCTGACACAAGAGACCCACAAATCATAGAGTAGAAGGGTTTTGATAAAAACTCAATTTTTAAATCAATACGATAAAAATGGGCGGCTAGATTGGCCAAGTTTTCCTTAGGAACTTGAAAAACAACACAAAAGGCAATTCCCAGCCAGTTGGTACATGATGGTGGAGGAAGCTCCACATTTACTAAATGTCCCATACTTTGATTACTAAACCACTCGGGAATTTCGCTTCCAGGAAATACAGCCGGTTGCTTTCGGTAATAATCCTGTAACCAAAGAACTATCATATATATATATATATATATATATATATAGAGAGAGAGAGAGAGAGAGAGAGAGAGAGAGAGAGAGAGAGAGAGAGAGAGAGAGAGAGAGAGAGAGTACCTTGTTCTGAGTGGCAAATTTTAGAATCCTTGAGAGTATTGTATTAGTCCAGCCTTCATCTTGAACCAATGCAATGCAATTCCGGCAAGTGAAACTAAAATCATACAAATTGATGAATCTGCTGCTCATTGGATGTATCTGACAAACTTCGTAAGGAAGTACAATCGTTTACATCTACATGCAATTTGCCATTAGATGGAAGAGGTGGCAATTTTTGAAGGCTTTTGCAGCTTGACAGACCAAGATAACAAAGCTTAGAAAGGCACCTAATGCTTTCAGGTAGACTCACGAAATTATTTCCACCAAGATTCAATCTTTCCAAAAAGGACAAGCAGCCAATATCATCAGGAATATCCCCATCACAGAGTTTACAATCTTTTAGATTTATGGTCTTCAAAGTGCATAAACGATTTAGAGAAGAAAACATGAAACCCCGACAAGGAGGAGGATCAGGAGCACTTTTTCCAAGTCCTAATATGCGAAGAATGCCCCACCCGTCCCTTTCTTTAGCATACGATCCGTATAATTGTAGATGTTTGAGATTTTTCATACCCCCCAATCGGCTCTGTCAAAGTGGCTCCCAATACAAGCGTCTCTAAGTGATCCATGTCTCCTGGGAGTTTGTCAATTTTTGAGCATTGTCCCATACAGAGGCGTCTAAGAGACTTCAAATTACAAATAGCCCTTGGAAGGTCCAAGAGATTTTTGCAATTAAATAGATTCAAATCCTTAAGGCCAACCAAATGTTCAATTGATGAAGGCATTTTCTCAATCGCAGTCCCACCTAAGTGAAGCTTGGATAAGTTCTTCATCTGCTCCCCAAATTCTGGAATCTTTTTCACATTTAAGCAGCCATTAAGATATAAAGATTCCAGAGAATCCATTTCAACTTCACTTGGGAGGCTCTTAATGCTATCACAGCCATTAAGATTCAAAAGTTTAAGTCTTTTGAGGACTGTAATAGACGGGTGTATCTCAACTAAATTCTTACAATGCCCAAGAGCCAACTCCACAAGATTTGGAACACCAGTGAAATCTGGGGTATTAATCAATTTTTTGGAGAAGCCAAGATCGATATATTTCAAGTTGGGCAAGTCCTGTACAACATTGATATGGTTCAGATCGTATATTTAGCTTCTACAATCTTAAAGTTTATTCAAAATAATAAATAAATGATTATTCTGTAAATTAAATAGCATTTATTCAATACTATTACCAATTTTCCCTTCCAAAGCCGAACAATTTTGCTCTTACGCATCTTTAGTTGAGTAAGCAAACACAAGTGAAAGCTGGTCGGAAGACACTTGGAAGGATAGAAACTCCAATTTATAATTCTCAAGGAACATGGAAGAAATTTGGGGCATGAAGAAATGATCAAATTATTGAATTCCAGAAACCTCAGTTCACGCATATTAGAGAAGGCTTCCAAATTCCAGTGCACCTCTTTTGATTCGGGTAACTGTAAGACTATGCCTTCAATAGCATGTGTCCCCTGATAACCAAGAATGTAGGAAACATCAATTTCACATGCTAATATTATGTTAATAGAAATCATATCCATTTTTGAACTTGGTATTTACATAATTTCTTACTGTATTGGTCATGAATACATGAAAAATGTCATTAGGAAGCCACAATCGACTACGTAGACCAGACTCTTCAGACTCTTGACGAACAATTGTCCATGCCATTTGTTGTATCAAATCATGCATCCCTATTTTGTTTCCGTAATCGTTGTATAGAAGAGATCTCTCAATTAGCAAATCTATTAGAATACAACTAGAAATTCCGAAAGAATTGTCTAGTACTTGAATTACTTGCTTTGTGTACTTCCCTTTGTGGAAACATGCAACATCAAGGAAAATTCTTTTCTCCATCAGCCGGAGTCCATCATAACTAACTTTGAGCGAATAAAAAATATTCTGATTGTGTATTTTATGTAGATTATCCAACTCACTATTCCATGCATCTCGCCCTCTCCTATACAAAAAAGAACCTACAACTTTAAGAACTAAGGGAAGGCCTCCGGCATGGTTTAGGAAACGCTCAGAGAGTTCCAAAAAGTCTTCCTCGGGTTGGTCTTTTTTGAAGGCATTCAAGCTAAAGAGCTCAAGAGCTTCTCCATAATTCAATCTCTCAACCTTATATGATGTTGCTATACCATGCTGGACGAGCAGACCTTCATTTCTTGTTGTAATGATGATTCTGCTCCCCATACCAAACCAACTTTGATTCCCAGCCAGTACTTCTAGTTGGTTTAATTCATCCACATCATCAAGTACGAGAAGAACCTTTTTATTGCACAAGCACTTCATACTGTACATTCTTCCGCACTCATCATCCCAAATTTCTTCAATCTTTTTCTTCAAGATTGGGAAAAGAAGTTTTTTTTGAAGGCCAACAACAGTACGATCTCTTGCACAAACCTCTCTAACATTAGCAAGAAAACAGTGAACTTCAAAATGATGGAAGATTTTATCAAAAACTAGCTTAGCAAGGGTTGTCTTGCCTAAACCACCCATCCCAGTTATCCCAATAAAGCGAACATCATTTGCATCAAGAGCTAATAGCATAGTTAGTTGCTCGAGTGCGGAATCAATTCCGACTAACTTCTGTGAGGAATCTGACGAAGTGATTGTAGCTTGCACCTTCCTCCACACACATTTGACAATGTCATCAATCAGCTCTCTTTCACACCTGCAAAGAAGAAAAATAGAGTAACAAAAAAGAGAACATAAGTAAGCAATCAAGTATGGATGACTATATTAAGACATGGGCAAGTTGTTCTTGCTTGCTTACTTAAAATTCTTCAAATCCCACCCAGAAATTTTCGACACTGTTTTTAAAGCAGCTTTCCACTGAGTCACCTTTATTTTGTCTTCAGTGCTAGTCAACTTTCCTTCATGCTTGGCGAAGGCTTCGGCAAACCTCCCCCTCTGATTTCCTACGTCAGAGGGATCCACACCATAAAAGACTGGGAGAATTGAGTTCATGGCTTCCATGCACTGAATAATGTTTGTAAGCTCAGTCAAGCACCATTTGGAAGAAGCATAGTTTGGCGAGAGAACAACAATTGCAGTATGTGATTCTTTGATCGCACTCGGGAGCTCCAGAGGAATACTTGTTCCACCTGCAAGCTCTCGGTCGTCCATGAAAGTCATAATTCCTTGGCACTTGCACAATTCGTGGTATAGATGGGAGACAAAACCCTTGCGGGTGTCTACACCTCTGAAACTCAGAAACACGTCATACTTCCATCGAGGAGTCTCTTTCACCAATGGTCTTCGTTCTCTCTCTTTAATTATTTGGATGATCAAACAATATTTAATTATTAAATTACATTATCAAGACGTTAAAGTAAACAAAAGATTAATTATTTGATCATTGAAAGCATCTCAACTCTAAATAAATAAAAATAAACAGATTTATGTAAGCCAAAACAAAGAACTAGAAAAATAATGAAAGGACAAAACTTGAAGACTAATAGTTACGAAATTTTAGGGAAACACACTCTCAACGCGTTGCGAAAATTCTTAAGAAATTGAAGTATAGTTTGAATGAAATTTAAGGAAGCTCAAACAATATTTAATTATTTGGATGATCAAACAATATTTAACTATTATTTAACTATGATATTATTTTACATTATCAAACAATATTTAATTATCATAGATAATGGGGGGTGAGGGTGTGCGTGTTTGGATGGATAGGTGGCTGCCATCTTTACCTTCGGGCCACCCCGTGCCGCTTGGTGAGGTTGCAATCACTATAAATTTGTGTGTTTGTTCCCTAAGGTACCGTTTGGTACGCAGACGGGACGGGACGGGACGGGACGGAACGGGAACGAAATGGAGGTTCGTGTTATGTTTGGTATGCATAGGACGGAACGGTTCGGATTTCGTGTTAAATGACTAACTTAGCCTTGTTTGTACAATTTCTGCAGCGTCGTCGTTTTCCTTCGTTTTCTCGGCAACCAATCAGACCCCCAAACAATTACAAGAAGAATAAAAATGATGAATCAGACCCCCAAACAATTTCTTTCTCTTCAAATCAAACACAGAAAAATCCCAAAATTCATTTCAATCAATTTCTGCAGCTTCATCATCGTCCTCCCTGCATCATCGTCATCATCCTCCGTGTAGCATCCACCTTCTTCCTTCCGACCCACCAAACTGTTTCACTTTCTCTCTCCCCAACTTCCCTCTCCAAATCGGGCGACTCCGTCCTAATCCAATGGTCTGGCATCGACTCGCCCTCCCGACTCGACTGGCTCGGCATCTACTCGTCCCCTTCCTCCCACCACGACAACTTTATAGGATACAAGTTCCTTTCCTCCGCCCCCACATGGAAATCTGGGTCGGGCTCCATTTCCTTCCCTCTGGTCAATCTCCGATTCAACTACTCATTCCCGATTTTCTGCTGGAACGAGTCTGAGGTCGACCCCAACCACCTCGACCAGGACCACAACCCCTTCCCGGGCACCGCCCACCTGCTAGCCACCTCAGATGACGAGCTTAGCTTCGAATTGAGTCGTGTTCCTGATCAGATCCACCTCGCTCACACGGACTGAGATGACGAGATGCGGGTTATGTTCGTGACGCCAAACGACGCCGGAGAAGAAGAAGGTTTGCTATGGTGACGTCGTCGTCGTCAGATGGGTTTGCTGGTATTGGGTTAGCAGTTGGGTTACTGGGTTTGTGGTGGAGGAAGAGGAGGGCTACGGGAGAGATAAGGGTAGAAGAGAGGGAGGTTACGGGAGAGAAAGGGAGGTAGACAATGTAATTAATGAAAAATAAGAGGGGTATTATTGTCCAAAAAAATATAATTTTGTGTCCCACGGGATGGAAAAACCCGTTCCAGGGGGGGAGGGGGAACCAAAATCTAACCCATTTTCGTTTCGTGGGACGTGCGTTCCACATAATTTTAGCGCACCAAACATGGGACGGAACGCGTCCGTCCCACTCTGTTCCGTCCCATTCCACGTACCAAATGCACCCTAATTGACCCCTCTTCCCGTGAGTGGGATTTTGGCTTTCTACAGCTTTTTATTCTTGTAGCGGATCAAGAGGCTATTAATGCTACGCCTATCGGAGACCCACAGAGGA